TGGGGGTTAAGAGGCCTTTGAAAAATGAAGTCTATAACATATTAATCAGAGCAAATTTAACATAATAAATAAGAGCTCGTGGTCAAAAAAAAAATACTGCCTCTCTATTGCACATTCAAAGCGAAGGAGGAATCCAGTCAGATGTGTATCACTGCTTCCTTGCTATATAAATAACTGCAATTGGCATGCTAAAAATAGACCAGATAAATATTTAAGGCCCACTGCTACTTAACTTACTGTTGTGCTTACTTACTTACTGCTTACTGTTGTGTAAATCAGGAATAATATCAATGAGATCAATGAATTCACACCAGAATACTTTGCTGAAGTCAGAGCAGGGGGCTGTGTTTCCGGCAATTGCAGACAAGTCCTCCTGTGAACACTTCACCATCGGCGGACTGAGCTTTCCTTCCTCCTGACCTACAGGTCCCTTTGATAGCAATGGGAAAATGAGCGTAGGGTTAAATGCCAAGAAAACTGCGTAAATCGGAAGCCAGACAAGAAGGAAAAAGCTGCTTTACTCAGAGGGGTTTATCTAAAAACATTCAGACTGCACCCATCTCGGACACACCTGACCCCCGCCAGCAACACAATGGGAAAACATGTGTTATGGCACATAGATTTGCAAAAGCATGGACAGCTAGAATAAGCATCCTGCACTTAGATTAAATAGGGAAAGGTTTAAGAAAAAACAGCATAATGAAAAAATATGGTCTTTTTGCCTAATCCACAAGATAGGACACAGGTAACCTTTAAAAAAATAATTTCTGCTGTTAATTTTTAAGCTTAGTCTGAACAAGGACTGCAAAAGATATCTACTACCTAGAGCAGTTGAAGAGAAAGAAATATTCCTAGTAGAGCAGTATCTAGCTCAATATCTATACCTGTCAAATAAAATAGCGATTACCGTAAAACTACTGTAAAAATAAGTAACTATACTTTTCTTTTGCAGATCATTTTTCTCCCCCAAAAATAACTCAGTATTTTGCCCGTGAAATACTTCAGACTAATGCACTCCTGAAAAAACAGTTGGAGATGAACAAAATAGTCTCAAATAGCTCTTCTGTCTAATTTTAACTCTAAGAAACCATTTTACATCAAATAAAAAAGACAACATAATGTACCTGATAATAAATCGTGCTATTTGGGAGGGCACTTACGGAACACGAATTATTTGTATTACTGGAATAAACATTCAACAAAATCCACCAAAACATGTGAAATTATTTAAAGGGAAATACAGTAGTTCTCCATCCTGAATAAACCAAGGCAAAAAAAACCAAACCAAAACAAAACCCAAAAACTGTGCTTAAGCACGTATAGGTATTGTGTTATTCTGATTACATGAGAAAACTAAAGACACAAAGGCTGCCTGTTTTGCTATTTTTTTCTTGCTTTTCCAGGAAACCAAATATTAAGTACCTGGCTTACAAACCTCCTCCAGCAGTTGATCCCACTTCCTTTGACGTTCACCTCCTACGAATGACACAATCCAACGCCCACGTGCCAACTCTAAGAAAGCAAGAATGCCGTGGCTTCAACAAATGCCCATCCACTTGGGGCTGGCCAAAGAAAGATAAAACACCCTGTAACCCTGCAAACAAATTATACCCGTTACTGACGTAAGGAGGGGGAAGGGAGAGCAAAGGGGAAAGAAAAAATTAAATAAATCAGAGGAAGCATCCTTAGTCATCCAGAGCACGTATTGAGATTTTAATGGCACACCCAGAAATGAAAAAGCCTCTACTAGCCCTAGTTAGAAAGTAAACAGTAGGCTGCAACTGGGTAACAAACATCACCTTGCAAAGCGGGAACTGGGACCCCGAGTGCCTTGTCCCCAGCTTGGGCTTGGAGAGGCTGCAGGGGAGAGGGGCTGTCTCCAACAGCACTAGGGCCCAAGGCAGGCGAGGCTTTGAGGAGCAGAGAGGACCTCCCCATCAGCACCTTACACAGCTGTAGTCTATCTTTATGGCTGCTCAGGCCAAATAAATCATCCAGCGAGGAGCTGGGGTCTTTGTGGAAGACAAAGGGCTCAGCAGCAGAAAGAGGATTTGGTATTACATCTAACATTGCAGTCAGCTTTTAAGCAGCTAGATGAGGGCACTGCAGGTGATATTAAGGAGCGTTTCAGGGGCCAGAGCATATTGCATGGCGTAACCCAGAGGTCCAAAAGCCTGAGAGGAAAGCACACGCTGGGGACGTGGCGCTGCACTGCTCACCTGCTGCCTTCCCAGTTACTGAACTGGCAATTTGTTGAAAGCATGCAGCTTGAGAGCCCTGCATGCTGCATCCCGGGAATGTGACCCATTCCCAGTACCGCCAGCATTGCTGCCTGCCACAGCCAGGTCTTCCCCTGAGCTCTCCCAGCCGAAAGCTGGTCTCGCTCAACTCTCCCCAGTGTATGAGGCCTGGGAAGGGCAGAGCTTCTACCAGTTGAGCTGCACCCATAAACGACCTCCCCCTTTCGAATTACATTTGCGAACAGTTAAAAATACCGCCTTTAAGCTCAGGACCCAAGCTTTGGCCTAAGCAACACCACCATTTAGGAAGTCAACAAACAAATGGGAAGCAAGGAAAACGCTGCATAATTACTCAGAGCCACCCTGGAAGGAGGGCTGTAGTGAAAGCACTGAGTCTCTTTTATTAAGGATTTCTTGCTGCAGTAGAACACTGCCTAATAGCTGATGTATCCTGCTTGAGCGACTACGTTCTCCTTGGAAATCAAGCAAAGGTTTCTAATCGTTTTTGACAGAGTGCAGTCCCCTAAAGCTACATTTTCTCTCTGATTCATGCTGACTGACTGTAACCCTACGACAGTTATTGAAAGTTAATTAGCGGTGAAGTGCAATAGAGCTCTTGGAATGAAAATATAAGCGAGAACTGAACGTGGAGTGCCTCCTTTCCCAGAAAAAAGACTGTCAAGAAGGTTAACATAACAAAAAAAAATATTGCAAATTGAAAATGTGAAAGGGATTCCTCTAATAACTTGGCCATGATTGTCCCTTGCTGTTTAGACACGCAACCGAGAGGTAACATATTTCTGCGGGTTTATTAGGGAAGCAGGTAAGCACAGAATCCAGCATTTCTTTCTTCACCACATTTGCTAGAGAAAGCGCCTGAAAAGTTATATAAAGACGACACCCAAATTACATGAAGACAAATAAAGATATAAATCAATCGCTGCTTCCTTTGGAGACTGAAGTTTGTCAGATGTTGCACACGCTATCAAATCCCAACTATTTTTGCCCTTATTCTCCGCTTCCTCAGCACTTGCAAGGAATAATCCACAGTTACATGCGAGCCCAGCCAGCACCGAGCGGGTGTAGGAGGCAAGGCGAGGAGAGCCGCAGCCCCGCACCACCCACTCCCTGCAGATGTAAGTGCCGAGACAAGGTGCGAGGCAGTGGGCAGACCCCTTCAGGTGTTAAAAAAGCCTATTCTGGCACCCACGGGAATTGGATCCAGCCCTAAACAATCAAAAATAAAACCAAAAGCAATCTTCATACAGAGAAACGGCGTACTTTTAAGAACAAGGAAGGGAACACACTGTAGCAAAGCAAGTAGGTTGGAAAGGCCAAATGTAGCGCTCAGTGTAAAAAGAGATGTTGGTGATGCCAGCATGCCTTGGCAAAATTGTGTTTATTGATTTTCATAGAATAGGAAAAAAGCTCCAGCCCTTTCCACCCCTGACTGCTGCCTGTGACTCACAAGTGATCTAAAACAACTGCAATGTGCAAGTGGGGACAGGGCTGAGTCGGACCTAGCTCGTGTCTTCACAGCGCTGGCGGGGGAAATGTGCGTCCTGCTCCAGGCTCTTCTTGTGGCTGCCTAGGAAATACAGAAAAGCTGTGGACGTTGACCTCCATCAAAGCACTAGTAACATTTAATTCAGGGAACTCCTCTGGGTGGGCAGAGGGTCTGATTAATGTGTGTCCTTCAATGGCTGACTCAACCACGGCCCATGGCAGGCACGCTGGTGACCCGACTTGGCCTTTCCCTCAGGCCGGGAGGGGAAGGGGGCATCGGGAACAGGGCGCGTAAGGAGACAGACATCAACCCTCCTCTGTTCAGCTGGGGTGGCTGCCTTGGTTGAGGTTTGGGAAGTGTCACAAGCCGCTGACGTGAGCCTTTGTTTCGGGACCAATTCGTACCCTGACTGGTAAGCCCAGCCACCGTTTCTGGGAGCACGACCCAGGGAAAGACTTTTGCTGAGCTGTTACGCTCATATGATTTTTCTTTTTCTTTCCAAGTGCGCGCTCTTAACTCCACTGAAGCCCTGAAACACGAGGTAGGATGTAACGCGCCAGAAGAGGTGCCCCCCGCCGTCAGCGGTGCCGAGGGCCCGCGGCTGCCCCCGGACAGGCGGCTGCCCCCGGCCGGGGCCCCTGCCCGCTCCTCGCACAAGTGTTCCGGATAAACCGGGGTGAGCCC